AAAGCCCATCAGGACACTGATTTAGGTATATTTGGGAAGGGCACTTAGCACCATGCTCCTCATTTCCCAGACTGGCACGTTCCACAAGAAGAATCCGCGCGCTAGCGCTCACCGATTTCTTCAGACGTCTCTTGTTTTCATTGTGTCAGTGCTACCTGTAGTACATAATGTCTCCCACCACCAGAGAGTTTCCTGGCATCGACCAGCAGATCCAGCAAAATCCGTGAGTTAATTCTAACACGGCAGAGCAGGGATAGATGGGATCCTATGTCAAGCCTTTACTGCCGAGGGAAAAGAAGCCGCTTTTGTGATTTTTACCTCCTGGCAAAACTCAGATGATGGAAAGGTCCCTGTAAGAGCTACAGGAGTTTCCCACGGGCAGCACTGCCTGGCACTGCAAAACGGGGAATAAAGGGACCTTTTCCTTGTGGAAAGGGATCCAGGTGCACAGGAGAGCTGCACCCACTGCAGGGAGCTCCCCAGGACGCAGCCACGACCCGAGCTGCAAACCCGGCTCCGGCAGCACCTGCCCCAGCACCACCCTGTCCTGCACAGGATCAGATTCGTGCACGTGGGAGGACTAAAACACGAATGCCCTCAAAAGCCCAGCAGCACAACATAGCGCAGGACTCACTGACAAAGTAATATATCAAAATATGTAGTGATTAGATTTCAGCCATGAGCATCAATTACACCGAGGAACACCAAGAAAGCACTGGAGTCTTTTCAGGACAAGGCTCTGCAAATAGCTGGGGTTTTTTTTGTTCGTTTTTTTTTGTTCGTGTTTTTTTTTTTCTTTTTTTTTTCCTCTAGCTCAGTACCTAGATTGAAAAATTAAACCCAAACATTTCACATCAACTCAAAGTAAAAGTTTTCAGAATACAGGCATGAAAAGGGGAGGCAGGGAAAGGAAAGCAATTCTTTCAGGCGGAGCAAAAATCACCTTAAACAGTGTTAAGTGAGTTGTTTCATTTAGTTTTGGGCCGTTTCTAATAACACAGAGATGCAGGCCCCTATGCCGAGTGAGGAGGCAGCGTTTCATTTTTCTAGTGCCTACCCAGTCGCAGAATTCCCTTTTTCACAGCTTACAGAAAGTTCCTGTTACTGAGTTACTGCAATGGAGCCAAACCATGGCCAGGTGCTGCGGGGCAGGGAGCTTAGGAATACCTTTGGCCTTGCTGCAAGAACCACAGACTGAGATTATTTGGCGGAATTTGGGCCTGGAAAGGATTCGCAAGCCATAAAACACTGCCAACATCTTCCTACCCTAGAGAGATGTTTTTCAACCCAATGCCTCTGTTCAGCCCCCCTTCCCGGGCTGACAGACTTCTGCTTTGTCCTTCATTGCCAAGCAGATCTTTGAGCAAGCACTGGAACTTTACTTGTGGCTAAAAACCAGCACTTACCAATCAAGACTGTGCTGCCCTTCCAAAAAGCATACAGCAAAGGCAACTCATCTGCAGTGTCGAGGGCTACGTCCCTTCTGAACAGCCACCTGGGCTGGACCGGGCTGAGAGACCGTCACTGTCATTACTCAGCTGTGCAGAACTGGACCCTGGCACCTGGCTGCAGACAGAGCAAACTGGAGGGCAGACGGCAGCGCTGCTGAACACCAGGAAGGCTCTCGCACAACCACCCCGGAGGCAAAGGACCGTGCGGAACCAAGAGGGTCTTTCACAGGCAGCTTCCAAGTCCTGCTAGCAAGAGCCACCACAGACAGCAGCAGGTCCTTATCTTTTATAGGGCTGGAGAAATCTGCCCGTCCCTGAACCGCGCTAAGCAAGTGCCGCAAGGCGTTAGGTGAGCAAACAAATGGAGTCATGAGGACGAAACCGCTCCCTCCCCACACCGAGACAGCAATAAAATCCAGTGTAAAATATAATTTTGTACCTATCACACGACTCTGACATGTAGTCCTTGCCATGGTGTCCTCCTCTTCTTCTTGCAGGTTTTCTGTGACTACTTTAGCCTGTGCATAGTACAACAAAAGTGAAGAACATCTGAGACTGTTTATGTGAAATATCACGGTTCATATTCTGTGCTAATGAAAGGTGAGCTGGATATGTGATCCCGAATCTCTTCAATTCAGTTTGCAACTGTTTAACTTCCATGCCTCTGCTTCCATCCCTATTAAAAAGCATTTCATTAGCTAAACAGAAAGTAAAAGTTAATTTAAGAATGCAATGCACACTAAGAGCCCTTATTTCAGTCTCTTTATATCTGTTTCCAGTACGCGTTATTTGTGGAACCCTAGTTTTTCTGTTTTTTGGAAGAACACATATTTTTGCTTTGTTCTTCCGCAATCCTCTTTTCCCAAGTGCACATGTAAAGTAAGTGTCCTCCTAAGATCCAGTGACTCCTCCTTCCCCCCCAGTTATATTCTATTATCGGCCATAATTGAAACACAGGGACATTTTTTTTTTTTTTGTGCTAAGTCAATATATATAAATCAAAGAGGAATGAAGATACTTCCAGGGTCCTGAGAGTACGAAAGCCATCCCTGCAGGAAACATTACTTTCAATCTCTCAGACCTCTTAAATTATTTCTCAATCGCTCTCTGCTGCTTTAAACCATTTCAAGCAACTGTTTGATTCTGCTTACGCTCAGAATAACATTAAATACATTTTGTAATATAAAGCAGAAGGATTTAGCATCATTTGCATGCCTTTAATATCTTTGATCATGGTAGCTACTCTGCTTTCCTGTCTTACACAAGCGCTCCTGTTGACCTCTTGTGACAAGCCTCAGGAAGACACGGAAGATTTGCTCTCCATATTTACAAAGGTCATTTATAATCTCTTAATCTCTCAGATTTGATTACATCTTTTTTTTTTTTTCCTTCTGAAATGAGGCTCTTCAGGCTATGGAAAATGAAGAGGAGAATATGTGACCATTTGGCAACGAATTGCGGGTAAGACAATTTTTCCCATCTGCAGACTGCGTCGTGGCCTGTGCCTTGCTAGTGATGTGACATTTCACAATATTGGGACAGATTTCTGGGTAGTCCCCAAACACGCAGGCTGCAGCCAGAGAGGGCGATACAAATCTCCCAGTGTCTTGATTTTGGAGCCACTCCTGCCCCTCACAAAGGAAGAGCCCGTGGCTTTTCTAAATTACGGGGCTGTAATAAACTCACAAAGATGAAATGAAGCAGTGCAGCACAAAAATGATTGTGTCTCACCTTAAGCTCCAGCCAAGGACATGAAAAAGTATTGGAGTACGTGGAATATCCTTGGTGTGGGCTAAAGGATTATGTATCTCTGCTGGCTGGCCTTTAGAACCAAGTGTTTTTTTGATGAACACTAACGGGAAGCATATCCCTCTGAAGGTGAATGCACAAGGCTGCCATTGCTGGAACATTGCTTTATACATAAATTCAGTGGCAGTCAAGCAATAATGCTCTTTGCATGAGCAAAAATCAGAGGTAATGGGTGCATATGTTAGGGCCTAATAGTGCTCCAAGTCTTTACACCTTGCCACATCACAAGAGGAGAGATCTAACTGCTAAAAAATAAACATTTAACAGAAAAACCTTAAAAATTAAGTTTAAAAATGTTATCTCCAAAATTTAAAGAACCAAATATATATTTAATACTGTTTTATATATATATATATTTATATATAATTACTGTTTTGAAATACACTGTTTTCCACACTGTCCCTTATCTCTGAATGCATTTACATTGTTCACAAAGGAAGAGGAATCCTCTTAGTCCAGGGCTTTTCAAAAGACTCATGCTGTTTTCCCCAAAAGCTTTCATTTTGACTTTTTGACAAGGAAAAAAAAAAGCACAATGGGCCATGATACACCCCAATGCCACCATTTTCAGTCACAGATAGCTCCTGATTCTTTGCAATCTGCTTCAAAGTAAGCAAACACAAAGAGTAACTGAAAATAATAGTAATAAGATGCATGAACTTTGAATTTAGAAACCTTCCATCGTTCTTCTTGTACAACTTGGGAGGACAAGACAAAACCTTACACATTGTGCAATCCTAAGCATATCTTAGCCTTAAGAACTGTAAGCATATACTTGTATTCTCTTTGTTATAGGGATCCCCGTCTTTTGGCATTAGACCTTATAGGAATTAAATGCAACAAGAACATAATATAAAACTCACAGAGATAATGCACATAACATAATTCAATCTTCAAAAACAATATAGCCTTGATTTCCACTTAGCAACAAAGTGCATGATATGGGATAGGTAATGCCTTTCCCCTATGGCTAACTTGTCCCTAAAAGCTAAACAGAATAATTAACATTCCCCCATTATTTATGTACGGTAAGGACAGTCTTTGTACTTCCCTGATAAAACGGAGAATGTTTTTTGAAGATATACTTAAAGTCCTAAGTGACTATTATTGTTGCAAATAGAAAGACTTTACAAAATGACAGAGAGAAAGCACAGCAAATTACCGCAGCATTAGAAAATATTAAGCTAAAAAGAAATTGTAGGAGCAACGGGAAGAGTTTTTTGCACTTCTGTACAGCAAAGATATACCCTAAGCTGTCAGGACCATGTTAAATGGGGCATAGTTAAACTGAGTGGCTCTGATAAGGGGCTGTGCTTTGCTATCAGAGTTCTAGATCAGTTGGATTGAATTTCCTGCATATTGCACATTTCCAGACTTTCATTCTCTCTCTTTCCTTTTAGTGACACTACAAGGACAGCCTTAGATATGCTTATAATTTGTGGTTTTATAATGCAGGGGACATCTACATTTTCAAAGAAGAGATGATACCACAGGAGTCAGAAGGAAAAAGTTCTGCAGCACATTCAGGCTGCCTGTGCTCCCCGCAAGTTCTGCAAAAATGACCTTGTGGATGTTCTTGGTAAAGATGTGATTTGCATGAAAGTAAGAAAAAAACATTTGCCTGAAGTTGTAATCGTGCATGATACTGTAACTATAAGCACCCTAAACATCAATACTAAGCTGCTAGTTTTTCAAATTGCTGCTATGAAGCCTTTGGAAAGATGTTTTACCCTTGAAACATCTCCCAAATAAATAATTACTTTGTATTTCAATTTCTCTCAAGTGAAACTGTCGCAAGTGCAGCACTTCAATGACTCACTTTTATCGGAACAACAAAAGTAATAGCCTCAACTTAATGTTCAGTATATGGATTTGGCACAAGGTTTCCAATTATTTTGTGAAAATTATGCTTATTGTTAATAGCAATCATATGGTCAAGACTGCTATCAGAAATGAGGAAAGAATGTCGATGAAGTTGAATTATGAAAGATCAAGTTCTGCTGGTGCTTGAACTTTAAAACATCATCAGAAGGGCCCTCTACTAGGCAAGAAATTGCTTGCTAAATTGTAAGGTTAATTATTAAAAGCTTCACAAGGAAGGGCACCTGTTCAGTGTGACTTTAAGTTATAATCCCAGACTCTGTGCACACATTTTTCAGAAAACACAAAAGTTAACCACCCCATAACCCAGGATCTAGCAGCTAACCAAAAACCCCCGCTTTTCTCCTGAATTGCAACACTCCTGCTTGCTCAGCAAATTAAAGTATCAGGTAGAGTTAGCACCATGTTGAGGCTCAGAACCACAAGGCATTAATGGGGATATTTTCTGGGGTACAGGGACTAACAGATGCCTCTGCTTTGAAAGCTTCCCTCTCACATGACAAATACCCCCAGTCGTGATCAAACACTCTGCCTTCTCCTACCAGCACTGCTTTTTTTAGGCTTAACGATTTCAGTAACGTTCAGAGGAATGTTCAATGGTGGCATGCAATTTTCAGGGAAATGGAAAAAAGGGGAAAAACAGAAAATGGCCCTATTATTTCACTGCACAGCAGCATGATTACAGCATCATTGTGCATATATTTCCCCTGGAATTGAACTGCCAGCAGAAGCAGTAGGATCCTCACGACTAGCTGTATAACCTGGCCTACAGTGGAGCTGCCAACTTCTGTATTAATTCATCGTTTTCTAGCTACACACAATCTTTTCTATCATATATAAACAGTTATTATCCTGTTTGCCTGCACCAGCAATAAAGAACACTTCCAGAAGTTAAAGAGAAGGTAATATTGTTTTCATGTACTAAAGCACTTACCAGGGTCTGATTCTGCATTTCCATATCAGCTTTTGTTTTGCTGTTTTTCTTGTGGATTCCTTGAGAGCTGATAGAGTTGTCGTGAAGAGAGGAGCCCTGGGAGCTGCCCTTCGACACACTCCTGTAGGAAACATTATTTGATCCACTTTCTGTCTGCTGAGCTGCTTCCTTATCAACTCTGCAGGTAGAGAGCGATTCCTCTGATAAATTACATTGCCCTTCTTCAATCACTCCACTTTCCCATTCCTTTAATGTTTAAAGTAACCTCTCTGTATCTTTCTGTCTCTAGACCTTTGAGTGATAAATGTTTCTAACTAGCCTTGATCAAATCTGTCACTTGCAATTTCAGGCAGTATATCAATTTACTCTTTCACATGTAATGATTTATTTTATATTTGGGACTGCCGGGGGCAAACATGAAAATGCTGCACAGTAATTGTTAAGTTTTTCTGTGACCTGAGGTTATGGGAGCTGTAAATGTAATTAATTCTGACTAGTTACCAAATACGTGCTTGCTGGTTATAATAAATGAAAATGGAATACATTAAAATATGTACCTAATTATCTTCTGTTTTTTTCACACCATCTGTTTAGATTCTTGATTTCTGAAATCATTTGAATTTTTATCAACGTGGATGTAACTTGTCATTCTTTAATTTCGAAGACCATTGGTTTAGCTAACAAAGTAACAGGAACGAAAGTAACATCTCACTCTTCATTTCTTTTCCTTTAAAGTCCCTTACAGAGCACAAAACGTTCGCTACCAGGCCGTGTCGGCAGCACACACTGAGCTTAGCGCCTAGAGGTGCCAGGTTTGGCACATCCCAAACCCTCTCCCCGGGCGTTACCTGTTTAACAGCTCTCTCATAAAGCTGTCCTTTGGGGAGCACGCAGCCGGGCTGCAGCCCTTGCCTTGCTCACAGCCAGGCTGGCCAGGAATATCTTGGGAAGCTCTCATATTTCTGCTCTTCAGAACATCATCTACAGTGTCACTGCTGTCTGCTTTCCTGTTAACTTCACTCTCCATTTCACAGTGTTGGTCGGTTTTCTTTTTTTCCTTTTTTTTCTCTACTCTTGCCTGCTTAATTCCAAACCCAGAGACTTTTGCTTCTTTTTTTTCTAGCTTGGTTTTAGGAATGTCAGTTTTCCTGCTACTCAGGGCTGGCAGTTTACTCTTCCGAAAGCCAAACCAGCTCGCCAGGGAGGGCCCAGTTTTTTGCTTAGTCTCAGCAGTGGGAGATTTGCTTTGTCCCTGACCCTTCTGCACATTTTCCTGGATGCACAACATGACTTTCTCCTCTATTGTAGGTTGTAGAGCAGGGGAACTCAAAACACCCGTAACCTTCTCAGAGGCTTCTGCTAACTGCAAAGACATCTGCTGTCTTTGCGACTTCATTGCTTCAAGTTTCTGAGGACACCGCAGCCCTTCCACGCTCTGAAAGGATGAAATTTGCTCAGAGGAGACAGCAGTTGACACCGTGAATTCCAGCTCTGCGGCTTGGACGGCACTTTTTTTATTTAGAGGTTCGTGTTTGAAACCTTCTCTGCATTTCTCACCCAGGATGGATAGACCGCGGGCATCTTTCTGAGCAAGTGGTTTGTGTCCATCGCCCTTTGAAGCACCATGGAACAAGTCCAGCCTTGGAGGTGATCTGAACGGCAGCCTGCTTGGGCTTCCATGCTGGCTGCTGCCGTTACTCGCATTTCCCAGAGAACTTTGTCTAGAATAAGAGCTTTCTGAGGCTTTAGGAACGGCTGAAAGAGTCTCTGATGTGGCCGCCGAGCCGGGAACAACCCTGATTTGAAGTCCTTCCATGGCCGAGTTCTGCCTCGTTAGGGAATTTCCTCTGTCCGAGGTGTTGGTAATGATCTGGGTCCGCACCTTCCCAAGCCCCTCTGTCCCGAGGGCAGATGCCTTTTCCCCTAGGTGAACACTGAAACTCTGGCTCCGAGCTTTTGCTCCGTTCATGCCCAGTGCCGGTTTCAAGTGCGACTTGTTGCTAGAGGAAAGAGATCTCTTCACCAACTTGTTTTCTAACCCATCTCCTCTGTCCACCACCACGCTGCAATTCTCATGTGAATGCGATGACGCTGCATCCATGCTAAGTCCCCCAGTAAAATTATCTTTTATTTCAGTGTCAGACTTAGAGTCTTTTAATTCAGTGTCCCTTGCTCCTCTGGTGCCTGTGCATCTCGATTCATCCTGCTTGTCCTTATTTGCAGTCACGTTGCTTTTGGAAGCTGCATTGATGCTGTCTTTTTCCTGCTTCCCCGGTACAGTAGAGCTCTTTCGGAGAAGTTGGGGCGATTTAACAAATAATTTCAGTCCTACAGGGCGACGGGCTCTCAGCCCTTTCTCATTAGAGCCCTGGGTAGCATTTGCAGCATTATTATCGTGGAACAGTGTTGACATTGGGGGACTGTTTACCTGAGAGAGCTGAGGCTCGCTCGTGCTCGCGGTGCGGCGCTGAGAGGGTGCGGGGACAAGGTTTGGCATCTTTTGTGGCTGATCTATCCCACTGTCGCTGGAAGTGTCTTTTTTGCTGGAATATGCGCCTGGTGAAGAAGTTGTTTCCAGTGATGGACAATCTAGGGAAAAAGACCTGGCTGTTGGAAAATCTGCATTGGAAAAATCACGGTTCCTGCAGAGAGGCAGCTGATTAGGGGCTTTGGGGCAAACTTGCTTTGTGGGAACTTTGGAAAGTCCTTGGCATGTGCTGTGGGCTTGCTGAGATATGCATTTATTTTGCATAATTGCTTCTGCATTTTCCTGAAGGTAAGATAATTCAATTTTGGCCCCAGAAGATACAGTTTTTGCTTGCATTTCATGACTAGATTGATTATGAAAGCCAGAGTTCACAGTCCCTTTTAATGGTGATGATTTAAGTACATTTTTTGCTGTTTCACTGGAACCAGCTGCTCCTAACTTTACAGATACAGGTGGTGAATGACCATAATTAGGCCTAATTAGCAGTGAGGTTGACCTGCCTGGAGGAAGAGGAGGTGATGGTGACCGGGCATCTCCAGCTGCTGCGCTGCAGTGGACATCTCTGGTGGGAGGCTCTCTGTAGTCACTGGGCTCTATAAGGTGCTGAGGCAACAGTGGTGATCCTGGGCTCTGGCTCTTTGGGTTCTTCATCCCATCGCTTCTACCTGGAGGCTTCGGGCTGGGCAGAGGGTGGGCAGGGGACTTTGGGAGCTGGAGGGTGACTTTTGAGTCCAAATTACGAGGAGGACTTTGTGCCTTTTTAAATCTGGAAAGCTTTACAGGTGGCAGAGCAGGCGATTTTTCAAGGGCTGCAGGACCCGCAGATGCAGGTGCAGGTGTCTCCTCGCTCTCTGTCATCGTGGTTTTCTGAGGAGAAAATTTCCCTCTGCTGGGTATTTTAGTGAGGTTTGGCTTTTGACTGATGCCTGCATGCACAGTGGAGCTGGGGCTGGCCTTGTATGATACATCATACACCGGCTTCACTAGTTTCTGTCGCGGAGCATTTTGCAGCACTGCTCTCCCACAGCCTGAAGGTTCACTGCAGCTCATGGGGACAGCGGTGTTTTTATTCCCCATGTTTTCTTCTGCAGACCTTTTCTCAGTTTCATCTTCAGGTCTTTCTAAAGCAGTGTACTTTCTAGCGTTGGTTCCTGTCTGCAAACTAGCTATTCCCTGAGGTATAAGTTCAGTATATTCTGCACTGGACCTAGTTTGTGGCTGGCTGATTGAAATTTCATTTCTTGTTACAGTGACAACTCCGGTTTGATGTGAGCTGAATTCAATAGGCTCACCATCCTCAGCATCAAATATTACAGTAATGCACTCTTCAGAAGAGGTCTTCTTTATAACCTTTTGTTGTTTAACAAAGTTACACGTCTTTGGCCTAATATCTGAGTGAGCAGGGGGCTGCTTGTCTTCTCTGTCAGCAGATACAAGCTGAGAAGTCTCCACCACCACGAGCGTGTCAGCAGTCTTCGTGTACTTCTCGGGGAAGGGAGTCGCTAACAGATCTGAGGGACTCTTCTCATCGCTGCTTTCTATATGTAATTCATCCAAGATTTCATTGTCATCAGTATCTGAGAGTTGAAAATTAAGGTCCTTCCAGCCTGTATTAACAAGGCTTTGATCTAACCGCAACTCAGGCAGCTCTGCTCTGCTGCACGATTTTACTTCTGCCTGAAACGCACTGACAAAACTTGTCAATTTTTCAGGTCTTTCTTTTGAATTAAAATATGAGCTTCTTTCAGGCAACTGTTTCCTATTAAGGTCCCAATCAAATAGGCTGTCAGAAACACTGTGAGTTAATTTGTTACAACAGATCCTGCAGTCCTTGCTTGGTACTTCCTGCAGCAGCAGTAAAGACGAAGAGTCGTCGTCTATGTCATCGTGCGAATCTGAATCGTAAGAGAAAGTTTTGTTGTGTTCAACGCAAATATTTCCCATTTCTGTTGGCTTACAATGAGTCTGTTCTTTATGGCTCCCACATTTAACTCCTGGGGAATAAATGCCTTCATTGGAGTTCATGCAGTCTTTGTAACCCCATTTTGATATTACTGAAGGTGACTCAAGCAGTATTTTTTGCTTCTGTAACTTTTTCAGCCCTTGTAGGATATGGTTTTCCTTGATACGAGTTGGAGGTAGATCATCTGCAGGACTTGAGAGGTTGCTTGGGAGTGAAGAGCCAATGCTTATTCTTTTATCCCAGGTTATGGATGACTGTTAAGACAAAATAAAACTCGCATATTACTCAAAACTGCCAGTTACCATCTTAGTAAAGAGAATTAGGAGTTACATAGGGCATTATGTTTCATTCTCTGCTATTAATAGCATTGTTCTCTTTTAATGCAGGTTTTCATAGTGGTGTGAAGGGTGCAGCACACCTAAAACCTGCAAGAATAACAATACGAATGAAAGGATTAAGATAAACAGGATTATAAAAGATAGAAGAAATGTCAGAATACATGAGGAAACTGCGAGCAAATTGTAGCGATAAAAGAATTGTAAAAAGAAAATTAGAGGGAGAAGGGGAGATGCAGGAAGGCAGAGAGAACTCAGTGTAGTGACAACTGGTTTAAATATATAGGAGAGAAGAAAAAACATTTCAAAAACAGTCAACCATTCAATTAATCTTGTTTCAAATGAACTTAAGCTAATAAATGAAGCAAATTAATTTGATTTACCCTTTTGCTGCATGTTTTCCCATCGTTCCAAGTGTAGGAGGAACCACTGGAATATTCACTGCAAGCACTTGAGAGGGAGAGCTCACTGCTGCTGCAGCTGCTCCGGGGATACAGGCGGCTAGGACCTGTCATATTTAATTGACTGTGGCATTTCAAGACAGGTATACTGGATTTCACATTCTGCTGGCATTCCTAAAACATGAGAAGAAACAGAAATATCTCAGGGCTGGGAAAAGATCACTTTTCTTCCCCCTGATTAGGCAGGACAAAACGCAGCAAGTAAGCTACCTGCACCTTTGTATTATGCCATTAGCATGTGGGGAAAATAATACAGAGAACTAAAGTAAAAATTGCTACGTTTTTCGTATGTTTTGGACAAATTCCACAGGCCTCCATGCTTCTTCCTTTATTCTTGAACCAGTAATCTGCTTTTGCAAAAGATCATTTTGAGTCTATTTGAATTATGCTTCGTACGTAAGCAGCGCACTTCAGTAAGATATAGAAAACAAAGTTATAAGAGTACAAGTGCATCTTGACAACTGCATTATAGCCCTACAATGTAACAGATGAGGCTCTACACACTGGACAAGGCAAATTAATTTAGTGTCCCAGGCACAACGTCCACTGAGAATGGAATCTCTCCGTTACAGTCTAATTTTGGTTTCCTATCTAGTTCAAAGCTTTGTCTAAGAAACTCTCTGACGTAGGACCATCCATCTTGGTGTCACTCGGCGACAGCTGAAGCCTCTTGCTTATGCAATTTATTGACACTTTATGGCTGCCTTTAGTACTTGTGTAGTTATCGCCCCTCTCCAAATGCAATTTCAGCTGACTGTGACTAAGTGCCAGCTTTGAGGAAGAGAGTAATGAAGAGCAGATAGCACTTTAGGTAAAATATTAAACCTCTGTAAGAGTATCTAGGATGCCTTTAATTTGTTTTCCAACTGATACTCTTGTGCCTAACAATGTTAGAGCCTTTTTTTTAATGCTAAGTGCCTGTACTCTTCTGTTGTTCAGCTTCTAGTTTTCTTACAGCTTCAGAATATTTATTGATTTTTTTTTTTAAAAATGTATTACAGTCTATATTAGTTTTGCTTAGACAAAACTTTTACCTTTATATTCAGGAAGATGCAGAGCAATCTAGTTATGGAATCCACAAAACAATTACCAAAACTGAATATATGCAGTAGAGACACAGCCCCTTCATGCAAGTCTTGGGGAAAAAACGCGTAGTTTGTAGGCACCTCTCATGCACTAATGTGTTTATTGGACTTTTGCTGCCTTCCATTTTCTTCATTTTCTCACCCACTTCTTCCCATTTAATAGCTCTAGGGCTGAACCTTTTTTTTCAGTTAAATGGCAGGGAGCAGATTTCTTCCTGCCAAGGAGTTCATCAGTACAGCTGCTCATTGCTCAGCTGACATAATAGTGTTCTGGTTTTGACAAACGTAACTACAGGGCAAATCACTCTTCTGTCGCAGGGAAAGCCTATGAATGGGAACAGCATTTAGAGGCAGCAAGTTTCACCTCTGGGAGTTCTTGGTACATGTTCCCCAAGGAAGTCAAACCCCGGTGGGAGCACCAGCCATTAAATCCTCTCGATCTGGGAGGAATTCCTGCTCCTGTCATCAGAGGCAGGATGATGCCTCTCCTTTGGGCTCGGGGATAGACTTTGCTGATACAAGCCACTACTGCTGGTGTCCTGGCTCCTATGGGAGACTATCCACTAGGCTACGTTCCGGGCACCAGAGTGCTTAAGGGAAGGATGTCTCTATAATCCTCCCCTGCAAGATTAAGAGAAGAGAGGAGATCGGGGTGTCCTGCTTGGTCTTTCCATCCCCTCGCTCACACCCCCTTCCTTTGCACCAAAAAGAAAGGTGTTTGCTCCTAGACTTCCTGCAGCAAGAAAAACGGACAGAAACCTGGGGGAAGCAAAAGTGGGGTATAATAGTAATCACTTTTATGGTTTAAACAGAGGAGAAATCTGAAAAAAAAATCACATAACCAGAGACTCTGAAGTAGGATGTCTACCCTATTTCTAGACTGCATTAAGATCATCAGAATGGGACTGGATTTTTCTCCTGCCATTTGTCTCTGCTCTCCGAGAAAGAACTTTAAATAGTATGTTTATCAATTAAATATATTCAACTTGTACATCAGTTAATTAAATGACATTATGGAATTTGCATTTTTTTTGTAATCGTGAGTTTTAAATCATTACCTTTAATGAAATTGGCATACAAGAGCTTGACTGCAACACAGCAATTAAAACACCTAACTGTTACTAAAGTGAGAACTGAAAGAATCAAACAATTATGGAGACAAAACTATATGCTCAGAAAAACCCTAACCCTGCAGCTAAATTACATACTATGTAAAGGGTCGTTAGCACCTTTGTGAACCTTTGAAACAATGCCTTTTCATTAAAATATGTATTACAAAGCAGATTACATTTCTGTTGACACTATTGTACTTCAAGATCAAAGGCATGGACAGGTTCAACGTTCTCTTCTTGTTCTCTTTGTTTCCCTCTATCTTTATGTGACTTTTGTTTTTTCAGCTACTTTTCTCTTTGACAATGAAACATGAAAGCCACACCGGCTAAAGTTTTGCCAAATAAGCACAACGCTAACGCCATCTAGAAAAAAAAATGCAGAGACATGAATTTTTAAAAGTTCATACATAATATATCATAAAAGTAGGATGAATAATATGGTACATGGGCTTTAATAAAAAGCTCCTTGACCATTTCTCAGAGATTCTGAGATGTAATCAATACCCAAAAAGGTGTCTTGGGGACACTGCTGAGATTTATGCTTTTTTGCACACAGTGACAGTATCTGCTTACTATATCACCTGAGAACACAACATTGAATTTCAGAGAGCAGAAGGAAGATGCAGTATCGGTATCTGCCCCGGCGGCGCTTCGATTCGACGCCCAGTTTTATGGCTCACCCGCGACGTCGCACTTCAGCGGGAAGAAGGGGGAAGGCTCCGACGAGGGAGCCGAGGGCAGCGCAAACACTCACGTGTGTCTGAGCGTCGGCAGTCCGCGATGGCACCAAGCTCCTGTTCCTTTCCACTTCCAACAGCAAATCCCCGGAGGAGAGATCTAAGATGCGCGAATGGAGTTTCTAGAAGGCGAAGAAGGGAAACACCAAAGCATAAATGTCAGCTATGCAGCACATCAGCATTTTTACAATTCTAAACTCTGTGCTTAAATTTTGAGGGAAATGAAGACCCTGGAGTTAATGAGGATTTGTCCTAATTTGGGAGGTTGCTGTTCCTGCTCATTTGGCCCAGGACTTGCTCTACGAAGAAGAGATGATTCTTCAGCTAAAACAAACTCCTTTTTCTCCCAGTCATTGGTTTACAGCTCACCACGATTCCACATGCAACAATGACAAATGAACATGGATCCCACCATTATCCTGAGTGTTTGACAGGTTTCAGGAGAAAAAAAAAGCAAATAAATGAACTACAAAATTAACATTTACAAATCAATCAACCTGTTAATGTTGTTTTATTTTGGCACTGCTACATCTTGAGTGAATGATCGAGTAAAAGCGACTCTATTTTTAAACAGAATTGATCTGGTGAAGGCTTCCCTTGCACACATTTTAACTCTAAGTCATTCATGTCATCTGTTAGGAACAATTAATGTGAATAGAAAATAATTGCATCAGGGAACTAGGGACTCGGAGGATTTTTGAGCATTAATATTCACGCGTTGTCCGATTACAAGCACAGTACTTTATTTCACTTTTCACTGAGCGGATGGCTAAATCGGTGCCATTTCCCTCATATCCACCTGTATACTAATTACCAAGGCTTTCACTGTGCATTAAGCCTGAGTTGTTTTAATTGCAGTTTCAATAAAACCCATGATTTATGTAAACACCTTGGCTGATGACTTCAAAAGGAGTACCTGCTATCTTGTCAGCCACGGGACCAACACAACACGTTAGAGACGTTACGGATCTGACTCACAGCCCACTGAAATCAGTGAAAAAGGACATCACGAAAGAAAAAGGGGGCTCTATTCCAGATGGTTTAGTCATTTTTTTGTAATCACTGATTTTTAATCCGGGAGCCAGTTCTCAAAGCTGTGTATTCATCCGAGGCTTTATACAGTGATTCCTTAGCAGGTACTATCCTCCTGCAGCAGATGATGGGAAACGGCTCCAGTGCTCCATGTCTGGTACAAGCACATTTCGTCCAGCATATTACTGACTAGATAAAGGTGCTCCAAGCACTCGGTATCCACCGTGTTTCTCAATAACTGCAGCCAGGGTGCGTGGTTTGCAACCCCAGTCATGCCTATGCCCGGGCTATTCAGCATGCACCCCTTAAGATGCTGTTGTTAGAGCTGCTGTCGCGTGTTTGCTCGAGATTTGCTCTGGGTAAAAAGCCTTTCCAAGCTCACAGGTTTACTGCTGTAGTACATATGTTTTTCTTGACAATAATCCCAGCTGTATAGTTGAACCACCAGAAAATTTCACTTTTGTGTTTTTTTTCTTTCAGAAGCAGGAATCACTGATGTTAGGAACAGCTGTTGTACTTGCCCTTTGCAGAGGAATTAGTTTCCCCAGTGAAACCGCTTGCCCGATTTCTGCCTTCACAGATGTTTTAGAGTAAATTCCTATGGCTGGATCCACACGATAGGGCTGGTGACTGGGGACAGCTGAGGTGGATGAATCCCTGAGTATCTATTTTCTCCAAAAAGTACTCTAGAAATATTGCTATACAGCTTTGTGTTTGTAAGGCTTTCTTCATCTTTCTCCAAGCAACGTATTTTGAATATTTCATTACTTACCCAACAACATACATGCATTTCAACATGGAAAAAAAAATATATATCCTTATAAAGCCATCCAATGGAGTTCAGTGCCCCCTGTTACTGTCCAGATCAGACTTAAGGCCAGAGACCAGCCCGCTTAGAAATAATAAATTTCCATCAAAATTCACCAAAGACAGAGTCTCTCCCAGCAGAGCACACAGTAAAAACCCCTGTGGACCGGGTTCCTGCCCCAGCCACGCGGCAAGGAAGGCTCTACAGGGCTGTAATGATAACAGTGAATCGGCAGGCTAAATGATTAATGAAGAAGGAAGGAAAGTGGCATTCCAAGAAGTATAAGGTGATTACATGTCTGTATTGAGGAAAAGCTTCTCACGTTGGAAATATTGCCCCC